CCTGGGTTCAAGGCTGGGCTCTGCCACGCGCTGGCCGTGTCCTGGGAGAATGGCCACCTCGCTGGGCCTCGGTGTCCACGTCTATAATGAGGGGCCGGATGTAAGTGTCCAGAGCCTTCCACGCGGCTCCCCGGGGTCCTGGCAGGGTGACCAGGGACAGAGCTCAGGGCGGAGGAAGAGGACAGTGCCTCTACAGGAACCCCACCCTCCCGTTACCACGGCTCCTCGAGCTCGGCCCTCGGCCGCTCCAGGCCTGGAAGTGCCCCCGACCCCAGTCACCTCTGACCTGGACCAGAGCCGACTAACCACTGTGCTACATCGGCCGGGGCAGAACTCTGGGAGATTTTAATATTTTTAAATGCTCTGTAGTGTGGTCATATTATCTTTTAAAACCAAAGGGGAGACTTTTTTTTAAGGGGAAGGAGTGGTGTCAGGATGTCAGATAAAGTTGCTCATTCATTAGAACTACAGACCCCAATGCCGGGACAAGACACAGAACACGCTGAACAGCGTAGCCCACCCCAATGAACAGGGACAAGGAACAGACGACGAGGAGCCGGGGTATTGAGGGGCGCAGGTCGGGGAGGCTGCTCTGACCTCCGCTGGGAAAGCAGGCGAGTGAGGGGCTCTGCCCAGAGGCCTCCCCTCCCACTCCCCCCTGCAAATGTTTCCGACACACCCCAGGCTCCTGGTGTCCAAATGCTGGAGGGCCCACGCGTGTGTGCGAGGTGGAACCGGGTCCAATCTGGTTCTGGGACCCGAGCTCACTTCCCAGGGCCCACCGCCCCTCCCCAGGCAGCTCAGGTCTGTTTGCAGAGCAAGGACCCCTTGGAGCTGCGCTGAGGCCGCACTCCCCCTGCTGAGGCTGACACAGAGCCTGGGCCCTCCCTTCCCCACCCAGGACTCGCTGTGGCCTGGGGTTTACCCTCTGACCACCTACAGAGCAGCCCCCACTGGCCAAACCCCATGGGCAGCCAGGTGGCAGAGAGTCCGGTGGGGTCCCCACAGGGTCCGAAGGTGCGGCCTGACCCGGGCAGCTCTCAGCAGCTCCCCACGGAGGTCCCGCCCCCGCGCACCCACGCAGGCAGGAAGACATTTATTCTGGGGAGGCGTCGGGAAAGGTCCCGGAGCCATGACTCAGGAGGCCTCGGTGCCCAGCTCGGGCCTTGACCCCGACGTGCTGGGTGGTCTGAGAGATTTCACTTCTTTATGGAGCAACTGTGTGTGTTTTTAAGAGACTGGGATGCAGCCCGGCCGGCGTGGCTCAGTGGTTGAGCATGGAATCATGAACCAGGAGGTCACAGTTCGATTCCCAGTCAGGGCACATGCCAGGGTTGCAGGCTTGATCCCCAGTAGGGGGCGTGCAGGAGGCAGCCGTCAATGAATCTCTCTCCTCATTAGTGTTTCTCTCTCCCTCTCCCTTCCCCTCTGAAAGGAATAAAAATATATAAAGTAAGTAACTTAAGAAATACAATAGCCTATTGTATTCATCGTTGACTATGGCGATGAAGTCTGGCTGGCTTAGGGGCAGCCCAGGCAGGGACCTGCTCTCATTGCTGGGAAATCACAGACCCCAGAGAGGTGTTGGGGCCCCGCCAGCCCCCTGGGACGTTTTGCTCAGTGGCCTCGTTGCAGGAGGGACTGACTGATTGGGGCTACTTACCCTCCAGCCCCCGACCCCCGCTCTGAGAAGCACCCCGGGCTCTGGCAGGCAGCCACGGATACGGGGCTGGACTTGGCTGCAAGGCCGACTCCGTACACAGCAAACCTGGCCCCTGAGCAGGAGCTGCGTCCTTCCGTGGTGGCCACAGCCCCAGCCCTGGACGTGGATTCCTGGGAAGCGGAATGAGCCGCCTCTCTGGCTGCGGGAAGTCGCTGCTGGCAGCTCCACGGCCCCAGGTTTATGGGAGCCTGTGGAGGGCAGTATTTTCAAGGGAACTTCTTGGACAGAATCCCGAGGGAGGCTGTGTACAGTGAGTCAGAGGCTGGGGGTTCCTTCCAACGCATCGGCTTGAAAGATGAGAGGGAGGACCAGCTGGGGGCTCCGCCTCCCCACACCCACCCCGGCCAGGGCTCCAGCCCGGGGCCCGCCCAGGCCTGATGGCTGCGGAAAGCCAGGGGGGATAAGGGGCTCACTCAGGGCCACACACAGGCCCCACTCCTGACCACCGTCACCCGCTGTGCCTGTGTGCCCGCCACACCACGCTCCCCCACCCAATTCCTTTAAATGCTTCTCTGACATCTGACTTGATAATCCCAGGATGCATGAGTCAGGGTCCCAGGAGGAAAGAGGCACACTGGGTCACATGGCGGATGCTCACAGAGGGCCTGTGACAGGTGCAGACAGCGTGCGGGCACCACAGGGCCTGAGCTGGCAGCCAAGGTCCCACTCCGCCCGCCCTCCCGCCTGAGGCCTGAGCTCACAAGAGGTGGCATCACCAGCCGGGCAAGGACCCCTGACCGCCAGCCCTGGAAGCCCCTCCTCACTCTCCTCCCTCCCTCAGCCTCCTGCTGGGACCCCCACTGGCCAAACCCCAGGGGAAGCCCAGTGGCCCCGCAGGGTCTGCAGGGAGCGTGGCCTGACCAGGGCAGCCCTCAGCAGCTCCCACAGGTCCTGCCCAGGGCATCCACGCAGGCAGGTGGGCATGCACACGCGCGGGCACACAAACACACACACACACACACACACACGCATGCACACACACACATACACACACATACACACACACCTCCAAACAGACACAGAGAAACCCTAGAATGGCCTCCGCCTCCCCCTTCTCCGGGCCCTCACACCTCCGGCCTCTGGACAGCTGGAGAGCTAAAGGCCTCACCTCTGCTTTGAAAACGAGAGCAATGTTTACAGCCATTAGCAAGCCATTAGGGGCCAGCTTGGCTGACTCCCCAAATCTGGGGACACCCCGCCAGGTCGGCCCCCTGGGGAGCCCTGGGGTCCTGGCCAGGAGATGCTCGCAGGCCCTGAGGTTCCTGTGCAGGGTCACTGTCCACGAGGAGACGGGAGGCCCTGCCAGCAGCTGAGGTCCCTGGGCCAGAGGGGAGCCCCGGGGGGCTGGGAGGCTTGATGTTCCTCTCGCCCCCTGGACCTCAGCACCCAAAACACCCCGTCACTGTTACTGAGAAATGAACGGTCGCAACAGCTGACCCCTGGACTTCCTCTCCCTGGGGCAGGCCTGGCCCAGCCACAAGGTGACCTGCCTGCCGGCCTTTCTCCCTCCCCAGCCGCCTCCTCCAGGATCAGGACGCGGCTCTCAGCGCTCCTGCAGTTCCCAGGCGTGGCCTCAGCTCGTTAACGAGTGTCCATTGACTGTTCCCCTCGCTTCCTGCTTACCAACAGCGTTCTCTGTTTCTAACCGGTTCCCATTTCCTGAACCAATTTCCAAGGCCTTATCTCCTCCTCCCACAGCTGAGCTGGGACAGCTGTGCGCGTTCGCAGACCCCCTCGCCGAGGAGGGCTGAAGGGGGGCAGGCAGATCGGGGTACACCCGTGCACACGCACGGGCGCCCACGCACCCAGCTCTGCACACCGCCCAGCCAGGAGAGTGGTCCCACGGGACCCTGGCGAGAGCCCCAGGGGTGGCCCCGGGAGGGGGTGAAGCCCCACCTCCAGGTTTGCCAGCAGGGACTCGGGGCGGGTGGCCGCACCTCTCTGCACCCCTATCCTCCTCGGTAGGGCCAGTGTGCAGCGTGCCTCCCTCCCGGGGGTGCGGCCAAACGGGAGGGGCAGAGACAGGCTCTGGCCCCGGGAGCCCCACTGGGCAGAAGGGCTTACACCTGTGACTGGGACGCAGGTGAGGCCCGGCTCAGCCCTGAGGCACGTGGTGGCAGCGACAGCCACAGGTTAAAGCTGCTCCTCTGTACCCACCTCCCTCCTCACACTCTAAGGCAGCGGTTCTCAACCTGTGGGTCGCGACCCTTTTGGGGGGTCGAACGGCCCTTTCACAGGGGTCGCCTAAGACCTTTGGAAAACACATATATAATTACATATTGTTTTGTGATTAATCACTATGCTTTAATTATGTTCAATTTGTAACAATGAAATTGGGGGTCACCACAACATGAGGAACTGTGTTAAAGGGTCGCGGCATTAGGAAGGTTGAGAACCACTGCTCTAAGGCCTCGTTCCCATCATAGTTCCCGTCTAATTCGTCCCCGTCACATACAGGTGAGCCTGCGCGCACGCCCAGGCCCTGCCCTGCGCACAACTCACACCCACACCTGCTGTACCTGCCGCACCTGCCACAGAGCACCTCACACCTAAAGGGCAGGTCTCAGCGCCTGATCCTGTGTCTCCGCGTCAGCCACGCCCGTCTCCCCTTCCCAGGAGAGCGCAACCCCTGGGGGCGGGGGCCTTGGCACCTCCTCCCCCTCATGCCCAGCCCCTCCTGCACCGGGCATGTCAGTTTCCTCTCTGAACGCCCCTGGAAGCCTCCTCCCGGGCCCCACCACTCCGGGCCTCCAGGAAGGGCTGCGCCCACTCACGGGTCTCCCTGCGCCCACGCTGCTCCCCTCCCCCCCACCGCAATCCCGTCTCCCTGTAGCCACGGGGGGGGGGGCGAGGGGGAGGGAGGGGGGTGTTGAGGGGGAGGCCAGCAGCACTCACACCAGCCTCTTCCTGCCCCAGGGCCTTTGCTCCTGCTGCTCCTCCCGCCCAGACATCCTCCTCCCCAGCCAGGGCCGCCCTTCACCCAGGTCACTCCGTCACCCTGAGTCTCGTAATAACCGCCCGCGTCCCTGCAGGGCTGCTCTGGGCCGTGTTAGATGCTGTCCTGGGGCTCTTTTACTTAGATCATGGCACTTGCTTAATGACGAAGTTGAGTAATATCTGCTTCTCCACTACAGGCTCCTGGCGGGCAGGTGCTGGGCTTCCTCGTCTCCACACTCAGCGCCTGGCAGACCTGCTGAGGCAGGATCCGGTCCCGCCTTGGGGATCACGCGTGTGTTTTCTGGTCCCCGCCGGCCACTTACCTCTCTTTCTCTTCCAGCCAGCACAGGTGAGGCCCCACTCACGTCCCGCTCGGAGTCCAAATGTTCTCTCCCTGGAAGAGGCCCATGCTCCTGTCTGTCCATGAAGACCTGGTGCCCACCACGGCCTCCTTCAGGTGAGTCAGAGACCCCTCCACTCCCCGTTCCCCGGTGGGCGGGGGCCCCCTGGGAACGCCCAGGACAGGGCAGCCCTCCTCTCCTGGACCACAGGGGAAGCAACGGGTGATGTTAAATCCAAATGAGCCCCTCCCAGGGGCTGGGAGGCCAGGGCTCGCATCGCCCTGGGCCTGCGGGCGGGGGCAGTGGGCGGCTCTGTGGGGGAGGGGAGGGGGTACAGGAAGAGGACACGTTTCTGGTGGTCATACGTGAGCTATCCTGGGTGAACTTGGACATGAAGACGGTGAAACCAAAGTCAACACCCAGGAGTCCCAAGGAGATACGCCAGGTCGCCGTGGAGACGGGATGTGGCCAGCACCTGGCTGACATCTGGTGGAAGGCCAGGACCCTCGAGAGAGAGGGTGTGGGGGAATCTGTCCTGAGTCGAAGCAGGAAAAAAGGAGGGTCAGTCCTGAGGAGGGCAGTGCTGCCAAGACAAAGGGGAGAGGGGCCCAGCCTGGCCTCTGGGTCCTGTGGTGGGTGTGGCCTGCAAAGATGATGACAGAGACCATCTTGGCTGGGGCGTGGACCTCGGGCCTGTAGCTGATCCCACGGATGCACCCCCAGGCCACCTCCTGACTTTCCTGTGGCTTCCCCGAGCCCGCCCGACCAGGGGCCACCCTGCTGGCTGAGGAGTGTCTGTGGAGCGTCCACAAGGAGCCTCTGGGGGGCCCGTCTCTGTGAGCTGGGCCTGCAGACCCTCTCCCTGTGGGGCTGCTGAGGAAGCAGGTTCCTGTAGCTCAGTGGTTCTCAACCTGTGGGTCGTGACCCCTTTGGGGGTCGAACAACCCTTTCACAGGGGTCGCCTAAGACCATCGGAAAACACATACATAATTACATATTGTTGTTGTGATTAATCACTATGCTTTAATTATGTTCAATTTGTAACAATGAAAATACATCGTATTTCAGATATTTACATTACGATTCATAACAGTAGCAAAGTTACAGTTATGAAGTAGCAACGAAAATAATTTTATGGTTGGGGGTCACCACAACATGAGAAACTGTATTAAAGGGTCGCGGCATGAGGAAGGTTGAGAAACACTGCCAGAGATGGGCCAAGGCTGGACGGACAGAGGGGCTGTCCGGGGAGCCTGCCTGTTTGCCCAGGGCAGGAATTTAAGGCCCTGGGCGACCCTTGTCCCTGCTCCCTGATGTTGGGGGCCTCAGCTGGAAGGCTCAAAGGCCAGTGTTCCCAGGGTGAACCACTGAGTCCACGTGTAACCACACAATCCATGGGTCCGCGCTGCCTGCCACTACTCGAGCCAATAAGCAGAGACAGGGTTGAATCATTATGAGCGTTTATCCCAATCCGGCCGGCAGCATGGGAGCAGCAGGTCAGCCACAAACATCTGCTCTGCACCCCCCACACCAGCTGCTTATATTGGGCAGAAGGACAAAGATTCCAGGGGAAAGTAGGCAAAGGGTGTGCTAAGTGGGCAGTTTACAGGGAATGGGGGCTGGGGATTTGCAAAGGCCTGTGGGTACGCAAGGTCTGGGGGTCTTCAAAGGGCTGGAGGCTCTGGTTTCCATGATCATAGGCAGCTCCCTGAGGGGGAGGACGGGCTGCATGTCAGGTGAGCTCCCAGGTCCCAGCTAGAATGCGCCTTCTTTCATCAGAACAAGACAGTCGTGGCTCCCAGAGCATGGTTGGTATTTCTGACAGTCACGGCTGGCCCCAGGGCTCTATCTCTGCCCCCAGCTCGAGGAGGAAGTGCAGTGCACTTTAGGGTGGGTCTCTGGTGCCACGCACTGTCCCACCTCTGCCACCAGGGCTGGGAAGCCGGTCTGAGCCCTGGGCCTCACGGAGAGAGAAACTGCACCCCACCCCTTGGAGGAGGCGCACCAACACATTGTCGGACAGGATGTCTGAAAACCGCAGGGGGTGTCTCCCCAGAGCGCACGTCCCGCCCCATCACTTCCTCAGCGCCCGCCCGGGGCTGACTGCCCGTGTGCCCTTACACAGCCCCCTCTCCTGCCTCTTCCCACCTCGAACTTCTTGTCCACCTTCCAGAACACGCCAGCAGCTCCCCCCTCTGGCCTCGGCCTGGCCTGGCCTGTCTCCAACCTGCTCCCCTCCCCCAGTGCTGTGTCCCGTGCCCCTCGCCCCGCCCCTGGGCACTCATCCAATACTGGGCCACCGGCAGGGCCCGGACACTGGTATCCCCTCTGGGCTCCTGCAGCCGGGGCAGGGCTTGGCTCAGAGAACACTCCAGACTCATGGAAAGAGGGGGTGCATGGTGAGTGTCAATCACAGGTCTCCAGTCCTGCCCCCCCCCGCCCCCCCTGCTGGCCAGCTGCTCCGGGAAGCAGAGGGGCTTTTCCTGGGAATCCCAGAGCCACCCAGCAAGCTCTTTCCCGGGATCTGTTGCTCAATGCCTCCCCCTGAGCCTGCCCAACAACCACCCGCCCGGGAAAAGCCCCCTCCTTCCGCCTTCCCTCCCCACCCCACGGGCAGTAGCACACGCCTCCTTAGTCCTGCCCTCTGGGCTGTGTGCTCAGCTTTCCAACGGGTCCTCATGCCCACTCTTGCATTTGAATCTTGCAACAGCCGTGCCCGGCAAAGAACACAAACGAAGCAGGAAGGCCCAGCAATGGGCCCAGGCCCACACAGCCAGGGCTGGAACCATGTCTTTTTAAGCAAACCCGAGAGGGCCATTTGCTGAAGGTGGAGATGAATCGGCCCTTCTAGAGAGCGAACGGCCCCGAGGCCTGGGTCTTACCCGCCAGGGTGCAAAGGGAGCCCTGGGTTCCTGATGCAGTCAGTTATCGGTGCCGGGCGGCGACCTGCCACGGGGTGCCAGAGTGTGACAGGGTCGTTCTAACAGGTTCGCACGGACGGATAACTATTCCTGTTTGTTGAACCACGCACAGTGCTCGGGGCTCTTTGCGCATTGCCTTAGCTCCTCACCACAACCCTGAGCGGTAGACTGTCTCATGCCTCTTTCACAAGGTAGGTGGCTGAGGTTCAGAGAGGTTCATTCACTTACCCAAGGTCACACAGCGAGTGAATGAGCCAGGATTTGAACCCAGGAGGACCGTCTGGCCCCCAAGCCCCGGCCCTCCCTCTCTGTTATGTAAGCTCCAGTCACTATCAGCGCTGATGGGGGGAACGACAACCCGATGTACCGTCTACCCGTCTACCACAGCGGTTCTCAACCTGTGGGTCGCGACCCCTTTGGGGGTCGAACGACCCTTTCACAGGGGTCGCTTAAGACCATCGGAAAACACATATATAATTACATATTGTTTTTGTGATTAATCACTATGCTTTAATTATCTTCAATTTGTAACAATGATTTGAGGGTCACCACAACATGAGGGGCTGTATTAAAGGGTCGCGGCATTAGGAAGGTTGAGAACCACTGGTCTACCAGGAGAAAGGGCTGGGCAGAGGGGCCGTGGTCTGGGAGCCAGCCTGGACTCTCCCTGTCTGGCATGATATCATGTTTCTGGTCAATAAATTAATGACCTGTGGCCAGACCACGCGAGGCTGAGCGGTGACCGGCCTCTGGGAAGGGCCCACGCGATACGGAAGGAATGAATTCTGGATCCTCCCATCACAAAAGCTCTGCGGAGGCCGGGGTCCAGGCCTCGTGATGGCTGGTGCTGGGGATGGACGCTGGCCCAGGAAACATCCCCTCGGAGTCGCGAGACGAGGAACAGGAGCCGTCTCTTCAGGCGGGAGAAGAGGCGCCCCCGAGGCCCGGGAGTCAGGTGCCTGAACGGGGTCTGAGCATGGCCGGCTGCAGAGAGGCCCCGCGTTCACCCCTGACTATGCCTTCCGCCTTCCGCAAGCTGTTGGAGGACCGCCCCTCCTCCCGCATCCATTGTTCCTCCCTCCTCCTGTGACCTGGAGGTGTAACCGCCTCTCTCCCACTTTCTTTCAGCGCTGACATGCTCAACATCACCTCGGAGGCCCTGCTGCCTGTCAACGGGACCCCCGCCCAGGGCGGCAGCTGCGGGCAGGCGGAGGTGCTGGGCTGGCTCAACAGCATCCAGGCGCCCTTCCTCTGGGTCCTGTTCGTGCTGGCGCTGCTCGAGAACATCTTCGTGCTCGGCGTCTTCGGCCTGCACAAGAGCAGGTGCACCGTCGCCGAGATCTACCTGAGCAACCTGGCCGTGGCCGACCTGATCCTGGCCTGCGGGCTGCCCTTCTGGGCCACCACCATCGCCAACAACTTCGACTGGCTCTTCGGGGAGGCCCTGTGCCGCATGGTGAACACCATGGCCTACATGAACCTGTACAGCAGCATCTGCTTCCTCATGCTGGTGAGCATCGACCGCTACCTGGCCCTGGTGAAGACCATGTCCGCCGGCCGGCTGCGCGGCGTGCGCTGGGCCAAACTCTACTGCCTGGTGATCTGGGGGTGCGCGCTGCTGCTGAGCTCCCCCATGCTGGCCTTCCGCCACATGAAGGTCTACCGGGACGAGGGCTACAACGTCACGGCCTGCATCATCACCTACCCCTCGCGCACCTGGGAGGTGTTCACCAACATGCTCCTGAACTTGGTGGGCTTCCTCCTGCCGCTGGGCGTCATCTCCTTCTGCACCGTGCAGATCATGCAGGTGCTCCGCAACAACGAGATGCAGAAGTTCAAGGAGATCCAGACGGAGCGGCGGGCCACGGTGCTGGTGCTGGCCGTGCTGCTGCTCTTCGTGGTCTGCTGGCTGCCCTTCCAGATCAGCACCTTCCTGGACACGCTGCTGCGCCTGGGCGTCCTCTCCGGCTGCTGGGACGAGTACGTGGTGGACGTCTTCACGCAGATCTCCACCTACCTGGCCTACAGCAACAGCTGCCTCAACCCGCTGGTGTACGCCATCGTGGGCAAGCGCTTCCGCAAGAAATCCCGGGAGGTGTACCAGCGCCTGTGCCACCGCGGGGGCTGCGCGTCCCAGCCCAGCCCGGAGAGCTCCATGGGCACGCTGCGGACCTCCATCTCCATGGAGCGGCAGATCCACAAACTGCCACGCTGGGTGGGGAGCAGCCAGTGAGCAGAGGCCACCAGGGCCACCGTGCCTGGGTGAGGGTCACGGACAGTTGCTCCGGGGATGTGCCTGGCGAGGGTGGCAGCCACCTCTCGGTGACCCCGGCAGCGGGCCGGTGTCTGCAGACAACAGCAGCAGGGTTCCTGCCGGCCCTGCAGGGAGCGCAGCTATGAGGATGGGTGACCCCGTCCACCCGCAAGGCCTCCGTGAACACGACAGCATTACCGTCTTCCTTGCTCCACCCCTGGGCCCGTCTGCTCCTTCCCAGGAGTGGAGAGGCCTGGGGGCCAGGACAGGGGTGACTGAGCTCTCCTGCCCCCTTGGTGTCCGCCTGCCCCAGCGTGACAGCTCGGAGCTCCGGGAGCACCTGTGCCCGGCTGAGTTCTTGCCTGGGGTCTCTTTCACCCACTCGGCTAGGACTTGGAAGGAGGATTTCTCCGGTTAGTGAAGGTGGACCTCGGAGAGTCCCTGGTGAGGCCCCGGGGACTCAGGATTCGGTCCCTCCCCTTGCCTGGGGACAAGGAGACTGTGCCCAAGAAGAACCCAGTAAGCGCTAACCCAGCGCTGCCGTCTGCGCGGCCTTGAGCCCCGCGGGCCCGGGGAGGAGAGAGGAAGCGTGGCCTCCGTCTCAGAGGAGCTCGCAGGTTCGCGTGGGGACCACTGAGCACTTGGCCGCCGCAGGCTGCTCTGCACAGGGCCAGGCAGAGCCCATGTGCAGCGCAGAGCAAACGCGGAGGAGTCTGGCGCCCCAGCGCCCCGACCACCCCACCCATCACACATCCTCTTGTCCCTGCCTCGGTTTCCCCCTCTGTGACACCAGGTGGTGAGGATTCCAGGAGGGGACCAGCACAGAAGGACTTGGGAAAACAATGGTGCTACGTAAACGTGAGGTGTCCTTACGCACAGAGAGCAGGGTCCGGGGAGGCCGGAACCCGGAGGGCCAGGAGGCTCTGACCCATAAATCCTGCCCGTCCAGCTGCAGACTTTACAACAAGAAGGAGGGCCAGAAAGATTCCTCCCCCTCCCAGCCTTGCCCCCTGCCGGCCACCGCCCTCTGCCCAGGAAACATACGCACTTGTAGGTGGAAAAAGGGAATGGAGTGAGAAGGAGCGACCGTTCAGTGTTAGCGTGAAGCTAAGCCACGCACGTACTGCGAGTGGAAGGGAAGGAGGCCGTGCTTGGCCATGTGTGGCCCCCACGTGTCCGTGGGTGGGCGGTGGTCGAAGGGGCTCCTGTGAGCAGAGCCGCGTCACAGCCCGGGCCCCTAACGGACAGTTAGACCACGTGTGGTCCGAGCAGCGGTCATTCTACGGGAGGGAGCCGCCCTGAGGGTCGTGTTGCTACCTCGCTAAAGAACCTCTGTCCCGCTAAAGAACACCTGTCCCCACTAAAGAACCTCTGTCCCGGGAAAGCCCCCGAGAGCTGTTGGTTTGTAAGGAGGCGCATTTCACATACGAGGAGAGAGGGGTGGACAGTGTGAACGTGTCTGTTCTGTGCCGTAATAAATGGAGGAGTGTTTGCAGACTTCTTTCTTTCTTTGGTTACAGCTCCCGAACCCTGAGCTTCCTCAGGGGCACCCGCGGTCGGAAGGAAGCCGTGGGGTTTCCCTCCATTCCCGCCGAACCTACTTTAGGGCGTTTGTCCTGTCGATCAGCTTTTGAGGTTGCGTATCCTTATAAGTAAAAGAATTTAGTTACTTATACCCAACACGTACACTTATGAACACATATTACAATGTACATCCTGAAATACACTCAAGTAGAAAGTTAAGGAACTCTAATGGGATTGGGATATTTGCCCCATCCTGCATTTCTACTCTGGTGACTCATTACCAAGTTTCCACCAGGTGCCTGGGGCCCGAAAGACCTCAGAATCACAGAGATGCAGTGACTCCAGTGTTCATGCATGTAACACATATTATATAAATTTTTGTATGTATTGTATTATATATTTATAATATACTAGAGGCCTGGTGCATGAATTTGTGCACAGGTGGGGTCCCTCAGCCTTGCTGATGATCGGGGCCGATTGGGGCCAGTCGGCCAGGAGAGGGACTGTGAGAGGTTAGCTGGCTGTGGGAGGTTGGCTGTGGGAGTGCACTGACCACCAGGGGGCAGCTCCTGCATTGAGCATCTGCCCCCTGGTGGTCAGTGTGCATCATAGCTACCGGCCAGTCGGCTGGTCATAACATTCACTTAGGCTTTTATATATATAGTTGCCTTTCATTTGATCTCCCTGTCACATCAGGAGTGTCCTCTACATTGTCCAGATTAAACAGTTGCCTACTACTTGCATACTCCCAGTGATGGGGAACTCATTATCTATTCCATTTGGGGACCTCTTCATATTCATGTATTCATTCTTTCACTCATTCATTAAGTGAAACCTGCATTCTGTGTCTACAGAAACAGCACTGCCCCATCTACACATCCATCCCTCTACCCATGCCAGAACCCTGGGCTCTTCGGGGCAGGCCCCTCTCCTTCATCCCTTTCACCTAGTAGATCTCAGATTCCACCTGTTGGCTGAGACATCTTCTTTTTCTATATCTAGTCATCATCTCTATGTGTCTCCCCACCTCCAATGTTAGCCACCCCCACCTCCCAATTCTCAGTCTCTACTCCTCAGCCAATAACATCCTTGAAGAATGCAAATACTGCGGAAGAGCGGCTTTCACTGTAAAAAGGCCGTGTTCAGGAGCTAAGGCTTTGGGACCAGGCAGACCTGGATTCCAGTTCTGGTCTGGCTCTGGCTCTGATTTGCTGTGTGGTCTTGGGTATCTCACTCATCCTTTCTGAGTCTACATTTACATCTGTAAAATGGGGATGGTAATAATGGCATCTGCCTCAAAGAACTGCTAACAGAATCAGTGTATGAAAGTGTTTGGCACCCTCCCTGGTACAGAGTTGGCACTCAACATGTGTGAGCTGTCATGATGGTGATGACGATGGTGATGATGGTGATGGTGATATTGATGTGACGGTGATAGTGATGATGGTGATGGTGATAGTGGTGATGATGGTGATGGTAATGGTGGTAGTGGTGATGGTGATGACGATGATGATGGTGATAGTGGTGATGATGGTGATGGTAATTATGGTGATGGTGATAGCGGTGGTGATGGTGATATTGATGATGATGATGATATTGATGATGATGGTGATATTGATGATGGTGGTGATGGTGATATTGATGATGATGGTGATATTGATGATGATGGTGATATTGATGATGGTGATGATGGTGATGGTGATAGTGGTGATAATGGTGATGTGATGATGAAGATGATGAAGATGATGGTGAGGGTGGCAATGGCACCCTCTAACAGGAAACCCTTCCGTATGCTCCACTTCTCTTGAAATAGAGTTCCACAGCCATAACATGGTTTGCAAGAGCTGCCATGAACGGAGCCCTGCCTGTGTCTTTCCCTCTCTCTGCTTCCTGGCTCATGCTCTACCCTCCAGCCACATTGGACACAAATGCCTGGACAGAATCCGACAGAGATTCCAATCCGCTCCCGGTGCCCCCACTTCCCACCAGCTGCACCCTCACATCAGCCTTGGGCTTGGAGAAAGTTGCCCACAAGGACCCCGGGGAGCCCACTTGTCAAGGGACTTTGTTCCCAGCCACAGCCTTTCTCAAGGGAGACTGCAGCCCAGAGGGAGCTGCGCCAGGGGATCTGAGCAGGTGGGAATGGGCAGGGAGGGCCTCCCTCTCGCCTCCCCCACCCCAGCCCGGCAACATTGACGGCCCGAGACTCTGGCCCCTCCTTGGCCCCAGCAAGCTGGTGCGATGGGAGAAGCCCAGGTGGGCCTCTGGTGGACTCAGAACCGAAAATGGGCCCAGCTCCCGGGTCTGCCCCGCTGGAGCCAGCGAGGCCTGGGCAGAGGTGCAGACTGAACACAGGTGACCCGACGGGAACTAGTGAGCGACGGTGGCTACCGTCCAATCACGAAGCCCCTTGGCGCAGCCTCTGGGATTCGAGAGGTGACGTCTCTATGCGTCACCCCAGCAGTGTGCTTCCCTATCTCCTGTTACTCAATCCCTGAGCCCGCTGCAGAGGCTCACACAGCTCTGGCCTCGTGCCGCCCCCGGGAGGATGTGGGGGTTAGGGGTGAGCAAGGAAGTCGTGGTTTAGCAAGAGCCATGATTGAGAGGTTAATGGTTTGTTTGTGGGTTTTGGCTGCGGTGAAAGAGGCCCATCAGAATGTCTCACCCTCAGCTGAGCTCTTTCAGTCTTGACCCCCACAATCACTCAGGCCCAGCGGGGGGTGCCCTGGGACCCGCCTGCTCTCAGAGGTTGTGCCTGACCATTGTGCCTGACCGGAGGGGTGCGAATCTCTGAGAAAGCGCTCCAGGTGCCTCTCGGCTGCTTGCACCCCGACAGGCGGACTTGGCATCCCCTGGGCCTGGTGAGCGTGAGCGATTGCTTCCCCCGGAGCCACCTCCCGGGGGCCGTGGCACCCCCAGCTGAGATATTTTAAAGCCGCTTCATGGCGCTACGAGTCATAAGCGGGGGAGTTGGCCGGCGGCGTTGAGGATTCACAGGGCTGTCTCGCTCCAGGACACATCTGCCTCCTCAGGCGAGACCCCACAGCCTTCCGCAGCCACTCCATTCCTCCCTCCCCACTGCCTCCTCTGTCTCCAGCTTCGCCTGTTCTGGACGGTTCACGAAGCTGGAATCACTCCCTTTCTGTGTCTGGCTTCCTCCCTCCGGCGTACACCGAGAGGCCATGTTCAACGGCAGGGGAAGAGCCCTGGAGGCCAGGCCTTGAGTCCCTCCCAGGCCACGTACTCACCGCGTGACCTTGGCCAGCCACATGACTCACCTTCCGCCACCCCTGGCCTTTGGCCTCAGTTTCCTCACCTGTAAAATGGGCAGATGATACACTACGTATGCCTATCTCACCCGGAGCAGATGGCTCTGGAGAGGGGGTTCTGTGAAACTCTCAAGGCAACACCAACATGACCGGCTGCCCTGGGCTGGGGCCAGGTGCCGGCTCTCACCCCAGCTCCGCTGGTCCTGGCTGTGGGGATTGGCACGAGGCCAGTTAACTTCTCTCAGCTCCTGGTGTCTTGCCTGTACAATGAGGATCCAGGTGTCACGAAGAGAAAGTGAGATAGAGTGTTCTCACGGGTTGAATTCTGCTCCCTCCCTCCCCCCAACCCAGCACCCCCCACTTCAGGATGGGCCCTTATTTGGGAACAAGGTCTTGGCAGAAGTAATTAAGCTGAGCTGCGGCCACACTGGATTAAGGTGGACCCCACATCCAATGACTGGGGTCCTTAGCAGAAGAGGGGAGGCACACAGAGACACGGGGGAGAGATTGGAGGGATGCTTCTCCAAGCCAAGGGACAGCAAGGGCTGCTGGAGTCCCAGAAGCTGGACGAGAGGCAGGGAACGGAGCCGCCCTCAGGGCCGCCAGGAGGGGCCGCCCTGCCCACCTTGACTGTGGACTTTGGCCTCTGGGCTCGGAGAGTGAGTGCCTGTGGTTTCAAGCCTCCCCACGCAGCCCTTTGAGACCATGGGGTGTGTTACTAGTCTCGGGTGCAGGCCCCCCCCCAGGTTACCTTTCCCCCCAGTGGAGAGGGGCCCAGTGCTCCCTCAGGTTCCCGACGGCCAGAGCTGCCAGCGGGCCAACGACTTCCTGGGAAGGAGGGAAGGGCGTCCTACAGAGCTGCGGAGGGTGGTTTCAGGAGGAGCCACCACGGCCTCTCCGAGGTCACCTGGCCCATCAGGGGACGCTGGGCTCTGGGAGGCTGCACCACAGGCCGGGGGCTTACCTGCCCATCTTCCGACGCCGGGCCGGGCTGCCCTTCTTTCTTCCTCCCCAGGCCGGCGAGCCAGGCTGATTCAGGGAGACTCAGAGGGGTTCAGAGGAGGCCATGGGCCCACCTTCTGGCTTCCGACAGCAGCCACAGCCCACCTCGGGAGGTTGTTTCTAGACGGCCCGGCGAGCCGGCTCCCTCCACGTGAGTCACCGCGCGGCCCACTCAGGGGCCAGCAATGTGCCTGCTTCCTCTCTCCAGGCCTGGACACAGCAGACGGCGGCGTCACCCCTCCCGCTGACCCCACCGCTGTCTTGTGGGGTCCAGTGCTGGCCGCTGGCCCGGCCCAGCCACAGCTCCCAGATCTCCTATGACCCCCACTCTGAGAAGGTTAGGAAACTAGGGATCCACGAGGTGGAAGGAAAACGCTGTGATGGATTTAAACCCTGGCGAGGTGGCTCTGCGGCCTAGACCTGCCCACTGTGACGTCCAGACCAGACCAGCCAGCAGATTCCTGCTTTGGAATCTCCAAGAAACGGTGGACATCATCACTAGCGTGTTCAGCTCCCTGGGCCCAGCCCTGCGCTCGTGGCCGAGCTCCCGATCCCAGGCACCAATGTGACTTACGCTCAAGAGAACTCGTAGCAGCTCCATCTGTGAGCTGCTGTTTCCAAGGAAAACTAACTTCAGTCCTTCCCTCCGTTTTTGCTGTACGCACGGGCCAGTGAGGCCTCTGAACAAATTAATAAGAGG